AAAGATTTGTTTTATGATGAAAAGAAGTCAATCACCCAACTGTGAATCTTGCGGCGTGATCCAAGATGTGCAAGATGTGCTCACGGAGTGTGTTCTAAATGAGGCGGGAGAGAAGAGAACTCTATAAAAAACAATTTGTCAAGGCTCAATGTTGGTGAGCTTCTGTCTGCTTTGGCCCATCCATTGTCGGACCTAGCAGACGGAGTCCGAAGCATGGTGCTAAAGGATTTGTAGAAATCTATATCATCATCATCATCAGCTCCCTATACGTCCTCGCCCTCGTACTATACGGCTCGGAGCCTACCCTAAGTTAAGGGTGTAAATCTATATATATAAAAGAAATTCGTGTTAGTTACACTATTTATAACTCAAGAACGACTTTATATTACTAAAAATTGGTGACGGACATAGGATACTATTTATTATTTTTTTTTACGAATTTATGCCTTAAAGAGCTACTTTTTATTTAACTTCCTAATATTATAAATGCGAATATTTAGATGGATGAGGTGTGGATGGATGGATGGGTGTTTCAAGATATCTATAGAACGGCTGAACAGATCTCGATTCAATTTGGCATACGTATAGAACATAGTCTGAAGGAACACATACACACAAATTAAGTTTTTTATATATCCACGCGGACGGAGTCGCGGGCGACAGCTAGTTGTAAATATTTTAATTCTTTTTGGTATTATCATTGCTTGTATCTTTTTGTTTCGTTGCTTGCTTGTACACATGTAGTTGTAATTATTTCCTAAGTTGGAAGTTATGGTATGGAGATGTTCAAGAGACGAAAGTCCCTAATAAATTAAGAATTGTGTTTCAATCAAAACTTTTGAAGGTGCTACGTACTATTTGGTATTTAATGTGTCAGATTCTAAACTAACCGCTTATTCATTTAGAAATTTATGATTTACTATCGAAATACTATTAGCTTATGGACTCACTAAGCTGTTAACCAAATTGCTGCCAATCATAAACGTCTTGAGCAGAAATGGAACATTGTGATGTAAATACAATATTGCTTTTCCTCTATTTAGTAATATTAAACATATTTGTACGTTGATTACATGTTAATAGTTTTGAATCAAATCAAAAGGGAGTTTTATTTATTTTATATAGATTTTCAATGTTAAATTTTAAACAAATTTGTTATGAAAAAAAATCATGAGTCCAGACTATAAGCTTGCTGATTGACTATATTTGGATATGTACATACTTTGTAACATAAATTAGACCCCTTTTGATACTCAGATATCTGAAACTTGGTGCCAACTTTAAGTCATGATGCTAAATAGACTACTGAAATTTCCTCTAGTAATTGATAAATAAAAAATCGTCGATATACAGAGCATCGATGGCTCAGGGGTTAAAGTAATTAACTTTTAATCTGCAGGTCCTGACTTCGAACCCCGCCATTTACCAATGTGTTTTTCGATTTACATATATACATTTATTCGACGTTCTTACGGTGAAGGAAAACATCGTGAAGCAACCTACACATATCTGCGAAGTAATTTAAAGATATGTGTGAAGTCAACCAACTCGCATTGGGCCAGCGTGGTTGGCTATGGGCTAATCACCCCTAACTTAGGGTAGGCTCCGAGCCCCTCGGTGGGGATGTATAGTGAGCTGATGATGATGAATTATACTATTGTTAATTGATTTTGAAATACAACTGAATAATTATTGGACTAATTTTAAAGAATTACAAAAATATAAATGTTTAAAAATATTGTAAACTGAATTCAAAGAGAATCGCGTTCGTGTCGCGAGGTCAAAACGAAAGCGTCATTGTTACTGTCAAATTGTAATTAGCGACGCACACATAAACACAATTTGTACAAAGTGAGATAAATTTTGAGATGGACCATGGACTTTGGCTGCCAGTCTCTTAAATAAATTACTTAAGGACAGGAACAAATTACTTCCTTCGGTTTTCATTATGCTTGAAATAAGATTATTAAATGAATTTGTTGTTTTGGAAACGTAAATTAAGACGTTTAAGTTAATTATAAAATTTTTAAAGCATTTTTCTCTATGCGTTCCTAAATACAGAGTACAATTCAATATCAAATATGTAGTATAGAAACATAGATTCCTCGAAAGTTTTTTGTTGTTTTTTTTTCTTACAAATAAAATACGACTTCTTAACTATATCGATAAATTAATAAAATTGCAGTGTCTGTATAAAATAAGGGAAATAAAAAAAAAATTGTCTTAAGTGGGGGTAAAAGTTTGTATGTGGCAACTTTATTTCGAATGTAAAAAATTAAAAAACACTTCATACTTTTAAACTCTACGTGTATGAAGTAGTCGAAGGAAACATCTAGACAATATCATGTATATAAATAAATATCACTTATGTATATAATATAGGAATTAAGACATTTCGAAATATATAACATCGCGAAACATAACAGCATAATTAGGCTCAGATTGGATTTTATCCGACATGTAAGGTTAAATTTCACGTCTAATTACAAAATCAAATTTTCTTTAACAGCATCTTATAATGAAACACTTCAACACGCCTATTTAGAAACTAATTAGAGCGTACGTACATTTAAAGTTTAATTAATATAAGACTTAATTCAACGAGAAAATAACAAAATATTAATAACATATTTTCATACGTCTTTTGCGATAGGAATCAGATAAAAATAATTGTACTTATTGGCCAATGTTATTATAGTAAATTGCGTTAAACTGTTCTTTAAAGTTAACTGTAAAATACACCACTATGTAGAAAATTGAGCTTCACAATTTTATATCTTTGAAATTTTATGAACATTTTGGTCGCTCCCCTAAAGCGATCAAGCTGATGTGCGGTTAACTTCCGGCACATGCTCATAATGTAGGCTACATTCCTAGACAATTCAATAAGGAGATATGCATTATAGAGCGCCTTTACTTAATGCTTATAGGCAAAAATTACTGCTTAAATCAGGAAAATTTGGATCTTTACTAAAGATCTTATAGAGATGAATGGAGGAGTAGTATATTTTTTTTTATAAGACAAGGGGACAAACGAATGGCGTCAACACCGAGGTGATCAACGACACTCATGGATATCTGCAACACCAGAGGAACTGCAGATGCGATGCCGGCCTTTAAGGAAATGGTATGCTCACTTCTTGAAGGTCCCTAAGTTGCATTGGTTTACTTAGCCAACCCAGAGGGATAAGGGCAGGTTAATGATCCTCTCTTTACAATAATTTTGCTCTCCCTCTCTCTACAGTAATTGTTAATTTTCTTTTTAAATTTTAATTACTCCAAACTGCTATTGCTTGATAGCCGTGTAAGCCAACCCTTAATTTGGGTAGAGGTGTCAACATTTGCAAGAATAAACACTTGACATATCAAAGGTTGACAGAATAGTTATAACTATGTCTGACCTCCTATCTCCTTCTTGTCGTTATAATGAAAAAAAAAACTTACAGTTTTAATATTCCATAGCACCGCAATGAAAACTAAATACGCTTTAAAACTTTAAAGGCAGACACGTCTATATATAATAAATTTCATTTTTTGAATTATAAAGCGGCAAATTGAAAAGGAAAAACTTTTCAAAAAAGTCTTATCCCTTTTCAATTTCCGCAATTAAAATTAAAAATACTTGCGCGTGTCGTGTTTGGCGTCAACGTCAAAGATTATGTTAACTTGAGGTTGATTTTAAAAAGGCATTTTCTTTGCTCTTATTTCTGCCGCATGCTAAGAGCCATAAAAATAAATATTATGAGGGAAATCTCAAATTTATTGCTTAGTTTATACTTAAATATACAGACTGAAATAAAACATCTTTAGATTGGTTTTATACATGTTTATTTTATCCTCTTTCGTATTAAATAACAAAAAAGTTCTTTTAGTCTTTTACGGTTACGTATCCTACAAAGTAAATTAAATGATTGTCGTATCGATTTCATGAATCGAATATTGATTGCGCATTATAGAAATTTTAATATTAACTCACTACAATAACATTAATTATGACAACTGAAAATGTAAATGAACGTAACGCTCTACCGCTAACAAAAATTATTTGCTCAAACTAAATTATCTCGACTACCATTTAGCCCTGTAGAGAGCTTACTTTAATTTTATTTATTTGAAAATGGAACGTTCCAATTAAATTTGATTAGTGTCGAATAAAACAAGCGTCCGCTTTAATGTTTTCAAAGTATGTTACTAGATGGAGCTACTAGTTACAAATTTTATTTCCAGTTACTTATCCAGTTCGAAAAATCACACGGGGAAAATAAAAGTTAACAGAAATTTACAGAAGTATTTGATTTAATGAAAAAATATATATTTTATTTCTTATATAATATTTTGCGTTGAATGCATATCGGACCCCGTCCTAATTTGAAGAGATTTGTGTAATGGATACTTTTGGCAAACGAATTGGCACTCATATCATCATATACTTTACACCTTAGGCATATCTGGATGTATCTATTAATTTTCGAATAAATTTGAATTGATAAAATTCCTTTAATTAGAAACCGAGACTAAGAAACTAAAACTTGATATTATATTATAATATGTCTATAATAATATCTTTCCATTTTTTTTACTTTAACAAAAAATGTGTCTCATTTAACATGGGATCGGAAGTAAGCCGTTGTTGAGGCGCGAAATGTATAAAGCTTATGCTCCATTAAAATCACACAACCTACAAGTGCAAGGCAAAGCGAACAATGAAAAATTCGCGCCGCGTTGTAAAAAATACCTACCCAAATAGAACGAGCGCCAGCCGCCACGGTTCCGTTACGTTATAAAAACCTACCCGAGCAAACTTCGTAATTCCGCTTCGTCCCAACCGATATAAAATATGAAACACCGAGCAAAATTTGGCCCGGCCTTACCGAGCTCGCGCTCGGCAAGCTTCGGTCAGCTTCGGTAATAATCGAGCGACTTCGTGCCGCCGTAGCGGCAGTCTCGTAGCCGCCTCCGAGCGCCAGCTACGTCGCGCGCTACGCGTACAGTCAGGAGACTCGGTGATTGTGTATTTTTTGTGTTGTTTGTGTGAAAGACGAAAAAAAACTTCAGTGGTGACAAACCTGTGATGTGCTTTGGGACGAAGCAACAACTAGCACGAAAAGCTCTTCGTTTTGTTTGATGGTGTGGAAAAATGGTAACTTTCTTACTTGTTTTTCTAACGATAGAGGCGTGAAGCGTGAATAAGTTTTATGTTTATCTTTACGTTTCCCTAATTATCTTTATCTTTACATAATTACATAGTGACGTTACTTACATGTTCGGAAATAATTTGCCTTAAGTTCGAAATACTTTCAAAGCTTTGAGAAATATTTAAGGCCATGTCCGCTAAGCATAGAAATATAATTTTGCCGCATGAACGCGTCTAGACTGAGCGGGTTGCATCCGCATGAAGTAACCGTTTAAGGATCGCGTTCAATTTACAGGATAATGCGTCATTACTAACTTTCCATCATCTTTAATTAAAATTAATATTTTTTCTTTAAAATATATTAAATGGTAGAGTTACTATATAATTGTTCCTTTAGTAATTAAGTGCAATTAAAGTAATTAAAATAGGTAGTAATTGATTGTCAAATTAAATGGCCATTATTGTTAGGGCGGAGGCAGTACTGTTTTTTAATTGCCCTAATGCTGGTACGGTCGTATTGTTTTTATTAGGTAATTAGCTGTTTTCGGTTTAAGGGTTGTTCTTGTTTTACGTATTTGTTTAAAAAAAAACTATGTAATAAAAGTGGTCTTTGAAGGTTTTGTAATGTTTAAAAACTGTTAGTTTTAGAAAATATGACATATCAGAATAATTTTAGCGGTTGAGTTCTAATCGTCGTTAAGCTGCGCTTTTTAATCCGATAGGTATATATAAAGATTATATTTAACCTCAGTACAGTTTCAATAAATATAAGAATATTTTTGATAATATAAAATCATTATCATCATCATCATCATCATCAGCATCAGCATCATCATCATCATCATTATCCATCGATGCCTTTTACCCATTTATTTGGGATCCTTCCTTGTCCTAGTTCTCAAGACAGCACTATTATTGGAGGCTTGTTTGTCAAGGTTAATTTCTTTCAAATCCTTTTAAATCGTCGTTATCCAAGTAGCCGGTGGCCGGTTCCGCGATTTCGCGTCGTTGTGGTCATGTTTAAGGCCAGTATTTAGATATAAAATCGTACGATATATAAATTCTTATAATCTTAACTACATCTAAGGTTTTAAAAACCTAATTTTAAAATGTCTGTAAGAACTTAAATTTGTAAGTTTTTATTTTCATGAAAAATCTATAAATTCTAAGATATTAATTCTCATAATACTTCTGATTTTTACAATAATAAATTTTACACAAAAATCTTAATTTTTACCTTATACTCTATTAGCCTAAGAGAGCTAATCCGATATAGTCTTTATTAACTGTAGAAATAATAAAAAGTCAACCCAACAATTACTGACGTAATTAGTGATTTAGGTACAATCAGACAAAGTGTATGGACATTTTTGGAGCCACTTAAATAAAAAGTAAATAAAAAAATGAACGTGGACTATGTAAAGAAAGTCGCACTTACCCTTTGAATAATTTCTCTAATGATGTGCGATTTTCAACCTTGTTAGTAATAGTTAAAAGCTATTATAAGTTGGTATTGTAGACTACGGCGTTTTCATAGTTGTCTGAGTATGTGCTTGTGGAGGTTACTATAGAGTTTGTAAGTATCATAAATCTGTTGCTAGGATTCTTTGGAGTCTGTTAGTTTGGATAGAATTGTACCACGCCCTGTTCGAACGTAGTCTCTTAGTCGTGGAATTACAAACAATATAGACCCTTATTATATACTAACTATAGCAATGTCAACCGATCGCTTAAAAAAAAAACTTAATAAGCAGCCTATGTGTTCCTCCGGACTATGCTCTACATCTATGCTGAATTTCAACGAGAACCGTTCAGCCGTTCGGAAGATATCTGCTAACAAACGTCTCTCCATTCATATAAATATTTGCATTTATAATATTAGTAAGATTTCAAAAATAGCGATTTCTGATAATGCCTAATTTTGTAGAGTCGACATCTTTTAAGCTAAAATGTTTGCAACTGTCATAGTTTTTTCTTGTAGGGCTTTAATAGTGTCACATGAACCTACTCTACTGGTGTTTGACATAGTAATTCGTTTGTAAAGTTAATTAATTTTAGTATAACGCCTTTGTTTAGATAATAAAGGATTTGTGGAACTCTCCAAATCTCCTTTGAATATGCTTAATTGAATATATACATATTTCGTGTGAAGTTTCGTCTTTCTGAATTGAGAGATGGCAGTCCCCAGCGGACATTTAATCTCTAGGACGGGCGAAGCTTTGCATTTAATTAGCAAAAACAATAGAAAACCACGACTCGCGAAGAAGTTGAAAGATGAAAGCAACTACTTTGTAACGTTGGTTTTTTTGTGATTTAATTATGTTCCTTATAAAATAAGTTTTTAAGATTCTTTTGATCTTTAAATTTGTTATATATTACGATTTAAACAGTGGTAGAGCACGCTTTAAAATCTTCGCACCAATTGACCCGGTACGCCCCGTGAAATACCACGACCACACAGAAGACAGGCGTCAAGTGGAAGCAATTCCGCGTTTCGTCTGATGTCTGTGCGTCCAGGAGGCCTAATTTAGTCCTCTTTACCTTTCCACTCTTTTTCTTATAAGGAAAGGATGGAAAGTGGACTTTCCGGATAAGAGGATGCATGGAAAGGGAAGAGATTTTCTTCCTATGCATACTCTCCTCCTTCAATTAAAGGTAGGCAACGCATATGCAATTTCGTATGTCTAAGGGCGACGGTCACTTCGCTGTTTCAGCGATTTCAGGTTACCGCTCGCTCGTGCCACTTCATGAAATAAAAAAAAATATCAAAGAAATCCATAATCATATTTCACAGTACTGTGAAATATTGAACATAAACATCATAAGATTGGATACATAATAAGTGGTGGATAAATGGTCACTAAGGGTCTTGGTGTAATTTTAGTACGCGAAATCATCACTATGCGACAGTTTAATTTAAAAGTCAACAATACTATGCCAGTAAATGTATCAAAATCTTTGTACATAGTTTGTACCAGTTCTAAAAAAAATATGGAACGTTGCGACACTAAATAAGAATAATGTACCATAAATACGGTATCCAGCGTACCGTAACGCTGAATGTAGACTCGAAGGCAACGCGTTATGTCTCGCAATATGTGCGAAATGCAATATTTCTTTATAACAAGATGTAGCAGGTAATGTGTTCTTGTTTGTGTTCGAAGGAAATAACAAGCGAATAGATGTAAAGAGAGTAATCCGCATTCTTTTACACTCGCTTATTTCTTTCTTTAAACACAAAGACATTTGACAAATCTTTGCTTTCACATTATTTTCAGGCGCGGAATGTGACTTAGCAAGAATTTTCACTACCGAATCACGTGTAAGAAACATTTGTTTTAGTACTGTTTTTCCAGACGAAATTAAACGTAATAACGTTCTATACCTTTACCGATTAGATTATCTTACGATGTTATTTAACACTAGCTGTCGCCCACGACTACGTACGCGCGGTCTTAAAAAAAAAGAAAATTAGTAGTCTATGTGTTCTTCCAGATTATAATATGTTCTATTATTCATCAAGATCCGTTCATCAGTTCTAGAGATACCTTCAAACAAGCATCCATCCATCCATCTAAACATTCGCATTTATTAGTAAGATTAAGCGATGTTCGATTGTTTATTTTGTTTTTAATAAGAATACTGATTAACTGACAGTGGTGTTTTCATTGTCATAAAACTTGTTTAAAAACTTTATTTCTATCCCATACATTCTCTTTAAACTAAACAGAGATAAAAAATATGTTCATCTGCGGTTTACACATATCCTAAAATAACGCAATGATCGTAATATAACGTTAAATAAAAAACAAACAATCAACTAAAAATAAAATCCTAAGTACACAACTAGAAATGTACAAATCATTCCATCGAATTAATAAATATTTGAACAAAAGAAAAATGGAAGAGACGAGATCTGCAACAATGGTTGAAGTATGTCAGAGATTTTTGTTTCTCATCACTCGACGTATCTCAGGCAAGCACGTATGATTAAAGAAAAATAATGAACCGTTAGTATGCTAGACACATATCCCATTACGACTGTAGACCGTGTGTAGATAATGTATAAACTTTAATACTGAATAAACTTTCGTACAGGTGGAAAGGTGTAATGACCTTTTTTTTTAAATTAAATATTAGCAGATTTTTTATGGAAATTTACTAATATTTCTTTTACCATTCCAAATAAGCTCTAAGCTTGTGCTAGGATATGGTTTACGACAACAGTCGATTTACGGGATTCGAACCCCCGACCTCGTGATCGGAAATCGTACCCTTAACCATTAGGCTATTGACGCTTGAGCTTGACTTGACGCCTTTATATTTAAGTTATAATTATAAAGTTAAATTAATAATAATAAAAGTTAATTGACCAACACTAGATCTTTTTTAGAATTTTTTTAACTTGATAGTCTGACCTAGAACGTCAGATGATTTATTCATTTATGTGGGATTAAATTATTCACACTTTCGTGAGACAATTTAGTAAAGTTATATAAAAACGGCTAAACACTCACGTATATTCGTCCGGTAGCACCGACTAGTTTCGAGTCCATCGGGGGACCCTCATTAGGGTGAGTGGGACTGGTACTATTTCGTGGACGCAGCCCGTCGTTCACTGATGAATGGCCCCGGATGGGCTCGAAACTAGTCGGTGCCGCCACCGGACGAATATACGTGAGTGTTTAGCCGTTTTTATATAAGTTTATTATTTAGGATTATTAACAAAATATGTTAAATACAATTATATTTAGTACATCGGTTTCATCTTAATTAGTAAGCTAAAACATATATCAATTACAGGCAAACACGACGTACATCTAAATAAAGAAACAATACAAACAAAATAAGAAAAAGAACAAACTATAAGTATACTGTGATTATAATTGTTTTACTATTTATTGAGTTAATGTGTAGATAATCTTATATAAAGGATTTTAATTTGTAGTGACTTGAAATGTAATTATAACTATTTGATTGATGAAAAATAAAACGCAAATATGACA